GTATTAGATAAATTTCAGTAAGTGTGTTCAATACTTTTTCCCTGTGCCATTCCACATTATTACAAATAACTTCATTCATCATTTCATCTGGACATTTATGGTTTGATTTCTTTGTATGTATGGATCACTTGGGTTGTTACCAACATCTGGTGAAAATTTCATGTCATTAGCACCTCTAGTAATATATTTACTGAGAAAAAAGTTGACGTGTTCAAAACTTATTTTACCCACTGTATGTATATCTTTGCCATGGTCATTTTCATACTAAGCTACATATTTCTGCTATTTTCTGCTAGAGTGTGACGTGAATTGTAGGTGTAATAGATAGCATACAAACCAGTAGGGTATCACAGTGGTATATATTTACACTTTTTCATTCAACCACAATTAAATTCTTTCTATCCAGATTGCACAACATACAGTATTTGCAGGCCTGTACCCAGCATTTTGAGGGGGTGGGGATTATTTATTTGAAAATTGGACGCATGTCACATGTCCAGGGGCAACGTCCTGGTGGGAGACACTGGGGGGTGAGACCCCCTCTGAAACAGCTTCTGCGTTGTAAGGGTTTTAGAAGGTTAAATGGTCTGCTGTAAAGTGTAGCGGTTCCCCAAAGGGGAAATAAACATTTCCACTTGTCTTTGACTCTGGTTTAAAAAATCCTTTCTTAAAAGAGACATTTTATTTTCTTCAATAAACAAAATAATAATGTTCTTTATATTTTTGTTTTATATTCTCTTTTTAACTATAAGTTATCATCATTTTATAAATCAAAGTTACCTAATGAAAAGAGTAACCATTAATCTTTTACATTATAATTCAGAAAAAGAAAAAAACACACCATGAGAAAATGGTTGAAATGTGCCTTTATTTGTTTTACACAAATGCTTGTTTAATCAACTTTTGTTTTACAGTAAAGTGATTAAGTGTTTTTCTTTTTATTGTTCAATTTAACTACGTTGATTGTTGTAATTATAACTTCACTGAGTTTTATTGTTGAAATATGCTTACAGAAATATTTGTGTTTTAATCATAGAAAAACATTTTTTAGATTTATTTCAGTTCAAATGATTTGTATGTTCCAGTGAAGCCTATTCTTTAAAGTCTGTCAAAGTTAAAACTTGTTTTTCTAGAAACAGGTGCAAAATGTTTTTCTGCTCTGGCAAGAATCTCCAGACTAAATATTCACGTTCTCTGCCTGTATGCTAACCCTCAAGGTCGTTTTAGCTTCTTCTCTTTAGTTACTAACACAATTTTGAGACAGYCTGAGAGAACGAGAGGAGACGAGAAACACCAATTTTCATCTCAGCTGCCTTCCTTCAGGAAGTCCAGCCAGGACAAAGATTTATCTCATGTGCCAAAGAGACAATCTTTCGTCCTAAGAGTTAAGGCACCTTCAGCCTTGACTCAAACAGCCTTAAGCTACATTATTTGAACTTTTATTTTGAAAGAGAACCTGGACAGAGAATCTGGACTCTGGTCGCCTGGCTAGAAGCAGATCTTCGGAGACGCAGTAAACAAAACATGGAAGTTTTTACTAGTTTTGTTGGGACCAAAGCTGACTTCCTTAATGAGCTGAGTGATTACTACCACCTGCTTAGCCTGACGGTTGAACCACCAAAAGGCAGAAGCTGTTTTTGTGTAAGCGTACTGAGGTCCGGCTGACGGGGATACGCAAGACCTGGTGCTGTTTTGGTTCTCACCTTTTGATAAGATAATTAAAAACAATTAAACCTTTAACTAATCCTCCTTTTTCTTTACTTTTCTTAATCTTCAAAAACCTTGCCATAAGTTAAAGTGCCTGTAAACCTGGTTTGATAAGATCGAAACCTAGTTTGCTGTTCTTGTTCTTTCTGAGTGTCACATTTTCATTAATTACTTTGGACGCAAAGTGGTTCTTGTTAATGTCTACCTCATAAAGTTCTGATTATTACCTTTAATTTATATAGTTAGTTCATTTTATTCTGTAAATAAATATCATTTATTTTAGAAAATTGAACTGGCTGAAGAGACAAATTCTTTTGTGTGTGTTTTATCACTTTCATCACGGAGAAGTATTTTATCTTCCCAGGAAAAGAATCCGTGTTCCTCATCATTTATGAGAAGGTGAGAGACCCTGACGTGTCTCCTACAAAAGTTATCAATGGACTTTTAAGTTTTGTGTAGTTTAGAGTCAAAATGTTAATGGGGACCTTCACTCTGGGTATTTTTACAATAGTAGTCACATGACAACATCAGTTAGACACTGGTGCGCTCACAAACTCTTGTAGCAGCCCAATTGATTTCAGGTAGACCTGCACTATATTGCCAAAAGTATTTGCTCACCTGCCTTGACTCATATATGAGCTTAAGTGACATCCCATTCCTAATCCATATGGTTCAATATGATGTTGGTCCACACTTTGGAGCTAGAACAGCTTCAACTCTTCTGGGAAGGCTGTTCACAAGGTTTAGGAGTGTGTTTATGGGGATTTTTGACCATTCTTCCAGAAGCACATTTGTGAGGTCACGTACAGAAGGCCCGGCTCTCAGTCTCTGCTCTAATTYATCCCAAAGGTGCTCTATCAGGTTGAGGTCGAGACTCAGGCCAGTCAAGTTCATCCACACCAGACTCTGCCATCTATGTCTTTATGGACCTAGCTTTGTGCACTGGTGCACAGTTATTAAGATGGGTGTGCAAATACTTTTGGCAATATAGTGTATCTTCAATATCTGTCTTMAAACTTGCTTCAGAATTGCATTTTTTTTTATCATTCTGTCTCCAGATCCTGCAGTTTCTGGAACAGCAGAAACTGTCCAGTCCCAGATTCTAATGTCCTGTGAATCAGATAGGCTTTTCCACTCATTAGACTAGCATAACCTTATTGCACTGGATGTGGCCTCCCCTTAGAGGACTTCCATGGCTGCCGTGGATGTTGTTCTGATGTAACCCGTGATGCTCAGGCAGGCCATTCATTGCACTTGGGTGAGCATCACTCTTGCCATCCCAACTTGAACTCAAACCCATCCTACTAAAGCTTAGTTTATACTTCAATATGACGTGAGGCAGCAGGTTGATGATTTCAGTGTCTTTTTCCTGATAGATGGGCTGAAGACGTGTGCAGTGGGGCATAAATTATTATAATTCCTCCCACAGCACTCCCACAACTCACAGCTAAGTATATAAGCAACAACAGTGTATTATTTTTTCCACTCAACGATCAGTGTTGTGTTGGTTGGAAAGTCTGAGGAGGAAAACTTTTTATTTTGTTAACAGAGGGGATGGAAAAAAAGATGTGAACAGCTGCATGCTCACATGTTCAAATTAGCTGCTCATTAAAACTGTTCCTCTTGTTAATTTGACAACTGGCAAAAGAGATCGTTTTCGACAAAATGACAGGTAAAGCTGATTGGAGTCCTACACTRGTCCTGCTCCTCAGTGCTGTGTTGCTCCTCATGAACAAACATGCCCACAAAGTTTTGTCCAATTATACACTGTGAGCTGCAAGGTCGACATCGCAGAGTTCTGACTGGGGGGCAATGCATGTAACGGCTTGCAGTTTTTTGTCATTCAATTGAGGGACCAAGACATGCGACTCAACGTAAACACCAGGCAGTAGCATGGCATTGCATGGGGCATATTATGGTCATGTAGATCCATCTGATAACCTTTGGGGTAGCACCCCAACAACTACCTACAATTCTGCTTTTTTCTGTTTTTTTTTTCCTTTTCCAAATAAAAGTTTGTAACTATTCCCTTTATTATTTTTGATAAAGAGTTAGTCACACACATACAGACACACACACACTGATACATTGATGGTGAGAATAAAAATTTACCTGCAAATACCACAGGTGACGCTTCCATTATAGTTGCAGTGTGGGTGAGATGGGTTTATTGGGTCATTACACTGGCATTCACAGTTGGTAGATATGGTCACCGTCAATTTGTCTTTAATACCCAGTGGGCTTATAGTGAAGGATTTCTCCTCCATGCATGAGTCTGCTGTGACTGTAACATTAAAAGATATCTGGAAAAGGCACATAGGTTTGCAGGGTCAAACATTTTTCCATAAATTAATTATGAATTGTGCAATATAAGACATTTTTTTAATTATCCTAATGCCTTGCCCTTGAGGTTTGTTAACCTCAGATGTATTTAAAACATTCTAAAATTTGGAATTTATGCCTGATACATGTAAAATTGTTTATTTAGTTTATCTGCAAATAGCATTGTTGTTTAACATTCTGGTACAGCGTAAATAAAAGCTGTTTCTGCCTTCTACAGAAAATCAACCATTTTGGTTTTATGCAGGTGCAGTCAGTTAATCTATGTGGTAATTAACCTGAACAAAAGCAGTCACAAGTTCCTCTGCTTCAGTTAGCAAATGCTGAGTTCTCAATCATGTCGAGACTGTCCACTCTGCACATTTCATTAGACTTTGGTCCGATATTAGAGAGGTTGTCTTACAATCAGTGAATAGGGAGTTTAATTCCCAGCCCCTGCATCATGCCAAAATGTCCTTGGGCCAAATACAGCATGTATTTTATGCATTTCATCAGTTTGTAAGTCTTTCTAGCATGCAGTTGTTACAGGTGACAACAAAGAAAGGAAATTTTACAGTTTACTTTGGACTGAGTTTTTCAGTCATTTTTGAGACGTGTTATATTTTATGATGTATGATGTTAAATGATCTTGAAGCGTTATATGAATATAAATTAGTTCAAAAAGTATATAACTATTATTTTTGGCAAAAGTACATTGATGTCACAGAATATTAAGCACACATTGAGGATCTTCTGGCATATTGTTGAGGGATGTGGTGGAAATACTGTAAATTAAACACATTTATATGTAGGAGATATGTTGTGTATATATTATGGATTTTATGGAAACAGGAAAAKGTTTTGTTTTTGGTTGTTTTGCTAAAGATGAATGTAGCTATATGGATGTCTTACAGGAGACTATAGATAGTAGGAATGGTGTAGGCTGCATAATAATAAATTAATTGTACCAATATAAGTTGTAAAGAGTAGAAATTGTGACATGGAGTAAAATTTATGTGTACATATATGTAATGTGGGACATATTTTGATGAGACAATTGGGGCTGGGATTTAAAAAGCTTTGGCTTCTTCCTACTCCTTTTTACACTAGGTAAAAAAGGTTTTGTTTTAATGTTTGATTATTATCGTGCTGTTTTTGTTTTCTTTTGATTTCTTTAATTTTTTTTATTTGAAATTTTACATGTTCAAAAAAAACAAGATAGAACTTGACGCCTGATACTACTGATGCCCCGTCACCATTCAGTAGTGACCGAGTGTCAGTAGTTTTGTTGGAATTATCACAGGCCTTCATTATTTAAATAATCTCATAAGGTGAACAGATGATTTTTTCAAACTACTACACAAATATGTTGAAAAGGTTGGCATTACGATGCAGACAAAATTTGATTCAGATCAGATCATGTCTGTGTGATTTAGAGCCCACTTTAGAGCAAAGTGGGTGGAGCTGAAGCGATATCGTCAAAGTAACACACTAATGTATTTAGCTGGTTTCCGTAATGATGCACACCAAATTGTGCGCAGATCATGTGTGATTTACAGCCAACCTGTGCAAACTGGGCGGGGCAAAGGTGATCTCATCAAACTAACACATTAATGTGTTTAACAGTTCTCTTTGATGATGCACACCAACTTTGGTGCAGATCATACGTGTTAAAAACAGACTTTGATAAATCCTTGTTCAGTAAATACAACAGGGTGTCCACTCACACCTGATTCCATTAACTGAAAACTATCATTTCAACTTCTTGAACTGCTAATTCTATAGGTGCACATTCTTTTGCCACACACTCATCTAATATTGGATAATTTCCCTCATTAAATAAATGACTAAGTGAAATGCTTTAGTAACATTTGTTTCACTGTGTCTCACTACTTTTAGGACATGTAAAAATCTGATGTTTTAGTTCATATTTATGTAGTGTTATTTCACAAACTTTCAAGCACCACTGTACATCTTGACATGTTCAAGGAACTTGGCACATACAACCTTTTTGTGCATCCCACCATTGATACTGGAAGCCCTTGGTTCTTAAGGCTGTTTAAGGAACAAATACAGTTTGTGTGCTGGGCTTCAAACAAATAAGGGTCTTGGTGTCTCTTTATTTCAGTCATGGGAAAGGTGAGCTACTCAAACAGCAACTGTGAAAAATAAAATACTGACCTCTTGTCCAACAGGAACTTTGTCACAAATTCCYTTGTTGTTGCCCTCTTGTATTGGATTAGCACAGTTAGGTTTGTAGGTTACTTTCACATTGTCAGGAAGAACATCATGGGTCAGAGTTACTTTAGACGATAATTTCTGTAAAAGGTCACAAAATTGAGAGAGTGCAAACAAACAGTATTTCCAAAAGCAATAAAACAAAAGTAAAACGTAATCATATGATACAATATAAACAAGGTGTAACTCGACGCCAAAGCGTTGACTGGTATGCCTCCGCCTGCCTTAGACACGTCTGCCTTTGAAAAACATGCCAGTTTTATATTGCCAACCAGCACAAATGAGCTTGACCTTTGACCCTTTGATGCCCAAATCTAATCAGACTGAGYACTACACTAATGGAGTTACTATGCCTTATTAGTAAATATCTAATTTCATTCAGGAGATACTGTSCACACAAGACCACCCGTGACTGGTGGACACCGCACTAACACACAGAGAGCCAGAGAACGTGCCTCCAGCCCCAGTGGGTGGAGGCATAAAAATGGCTAACTTACATTGTAGGCATCTTCAATCAGTCCCACAACATTTTTAGAATCAGATGAAAGAACTCCCACCTCTGATTTTGGTATCATTTTGGAAAGTTCCTGGGAAAGCAAAAAAAATTAATTGTTTTTTGTTTGTTTAAGTCATTTTCTATATTTTCAGGAAATGGTGCAAAAAAGTTACAAGTATTTACTGTGTACACATCCTTCATGTTTTTGGTCACTGCAAATATGGGTTGAATGTTGTTTTTTTCTAGCTGCATGGCCAGTTGTCCAACAGATGGGTAGTCCTGCACACAACAACCAGAGAAACCCTTTAGTCAGCTTTGAAAGGAAAAAATAGCAGAAAGCACAAGCTGGATATTTTTTTAAAATAATTACAGGAAAAACTTTATTTACAATTTAACTTTTTTAAAAACAACAACATAAATTCATCAAACAACAAAAATACAAATAAATTAAACGAAAGGTAGCAGAAGAAGAAAAAAATCGTATTATATCTGCCCCTTTATCTCAAATAAATAAATTCAATCAAAAATAATCTTTAGTTTACAAAAAAAAATAACAAAGGTTAAACTCTCTGAACAACAATTCATACATTTACGTATTTCTCCAGCAAATTAACCTTTATCATTTTTTTAATATATACATTGATCTGGCATTTTTAATGTCATCTTCCAGATTATTCCATAATCTTAGACCCTGGACTGAAGTACTGAAGTATTCAGAGATGAAAACGCATCTAACATTCTTAGAGAATGTTCATGCCTCAAAGCAATTAAAAAAACATGCTAAGATATAACTGTTTGACATTAATAAAAAAAATTATGAATCTTCACATACCATATCACTGCTTTTTGTATAAAGGCCGTTGTTCATGTGGCACATTTCATCATTGGGTTCCAGAATTCCAGCCAGTTTTCCATCTCCAGCCATGTGGAATCCAGCATCTGTGGCAAGAACAAGCAGCCGAGTGCTGCTGTTTCTCCAACCTATTATATCCTGCAACACACGTCAGGAAACACATTTCTCATTGAAATATTGTCCTGATCATAGGGCAAATGGAAAAAAACAAGCATTACTCAATATTAAACAAACAATATAAACCTTCATTTAACCAAATAAAATCCTGGTGAGATCACAGAACTCAGTTTCAAGAGAGGTCTGTGCCTGAAGGTAGCTTAATAATGCTAAACTCAAACTACAGCAAAAAGTTAGCTTTAAGAATCCATAGGCAAGTTAAAATTAGCAAAAGGCTAACTTAAAGTTAAACRTGTTGAAGTCTTACCCCACAAATGGCAGCCTGCATCATAGCATCCAGACTGCCCTCAGGAGAGTCCAAGTTTCCAGAAATAAGAACTTTGTTCACTTTRTCATTGAACACATCCTGACTTGGTGTCATACTGAGCACGTGTCTGTAGCCGAAAGCAGCCTGACAAAACTGCTCATTCTCATCRCATGGCTTCTTTAGTTTTTCCTCATTGGTGTTGGTGTAAGGAAGAACTGTCTTGTCAACAAAGGCTCCAAACCCTGCCATTCACATAAAGGAAGTTTTTTAAGTGATTTCACGTACACTAAAGTTATTAAGATGCTTTAAAATATTCTAAAATAAAAATCAAAACCGTTACACAATTTGTGTGTGTGTGTAATAAATAAGAAGTGAAGGTTGTTAGCAGTTTCCTCAGAGTCTGTCACTCTTTCTGAATCTGGTGCCATTTAAACTGCTGCATGTGTGTACCTGGTTTCTGTTACACAATGTGTCCRACTACATTAGGACTGGATTTGGTCCCCAAAAATGCTCTAATGGTCCTGACAAAATAGGTGTTCATACCTAGAAAGGTCCTAAAAAAGTACCAAAACCAGGTACACACACACAAATACGCACACATACGTATTTGACAATGTTATGTGTAATTTACGGGTGCTGGTCATAAAAGTAGAATATCATGAAAACGTTCATTTATTTCAGTAATTACATTTAAAAAGTGAAACTTGTATATTATATACATTCATTACACACAGACTGATATGTTTCAAATGTAATTTCTTTTAGTTTTGATGAGTATTGCTGACAACTAATGAAAACCCCAAATTCAGTATCTCAGAAAAATAGAATATTAAGACCAATACAAAAAAGTCTGTGGCACTGCTCAGGTGTTACCGGAGCCCAGGTTGCTCTGATTGTGGCCTTCAGCTCTTCTGAATTGTTGGGTCTGGCATATCACATCTTCCTCTTCACAATACCCACAGATTTTCTATGGGATTAAGGTCAGGTGAGTTTGCTGGCCAATTAAGAACAAGGATACCATGGTCCTTAAACCAGGTACTGGTAGCTTTGGCACTGTGTGCAGGTGCCGAGTCCTGTTGGAAAATCGAATCTGCATCTCCAAAAAGTTGGTCAAGAAGCATGAAGTGCTCTAAACCTCCAGGTAAAATGGCTGTGTTGATCTTGGACCTCAGAAAACACAGTGGACCAACACCAGCAGATGACATGGCACCCCAAACCTTCACTGACTGTGGAAACTTTACACTGGACCTCAATAAATATGGATCCTGTGCCTCTCCGCTCTTCCTCCAGACTCTGGGACCTTCATTTCTAAAGGCAATGAAAAATTTGCTTTCATCAGAGAACATGACTTTGGACCACTCAGCAGCAGTCCAGTCCTTTTTGTCTTTAGCCCAGACAAGACTCTTCTGATGCTGTCTGTGGTTCAACAGTGGCTTGACACAAGGAATGCGACAGCAGAAACCCATGTCTTCATACGTCTGTGTGTGGTGGTTCTTGAAGCACTCACTCCAGCTGCAGTCCCCTCTTTGTGAATCTCCCCCACATTTTTGAATGGGTTTTGTTTCACAGTCCTCTCCAGGGTGAGGTTATCCGTATTGCTTGTACACTTCATCTTTTCCTTCCTTTCACCTCTCTGTTAATGTGCTTGGACACAGAGCTCTGTGAACAGCCAGCCTCTTTAGCGATGACCTTTTGTGTCTTGCACTTCTTGTTAAAGGTGTAATGGTCACCTTTTGGACAACTATCAAGTCAGCAGTCTTCCCCATGATTGTGTAGCCTATAGAACTAGACTGAAAGACCATTTAAAGGCCTTTGAATGTGTTTTGAGTTAATTAGCTGATTAGAGTGTGGCACCAGTGCCCTCATCTACAATGACTTGCGTGGATTTCTGACTGAAACCTGACGTACGGTCAAATCCAGAAAACGTCATACGCACAAAAAAATCCAGATGTATAAACTGTGCATACGCCTGAATCCACACACATTTCTTTTGTACATCACAATTAATGTGGAACTGAGCGCAGTTAAGACACCTCCCATGACACGCCTTCATTAACATATGTTAAACAGATGCAAATTACTTCCTGCATGTGTGAAGGACACGTTTGAGTGATCTCTGCAGGATCAGAAATGATTTCTGTCATAAAAATAATGAATTAAATATAATGTGAGTGAGAAAAAAATCCCAAGTAAAAATAGGAATAAAATATGTTTATCACGCAAAGAACGAGTGATTGTGTGTGGTTGTGTGTGTGCATGCACACTGCTGTGTTGCACAACTGGCTTATCACTTTACGCACGAGTTTATTACCATTACTGTAAACACAGAGGAACTTAGATGTTTGGTAGAACATAGATCTTTGTTGCATAGCTGATATTAAGAAACGAGTCTCTGCACTTCAGCAGAGGGTTCACATGACGTGACGTGATGTTGGAGAATCCCCACAAACGCTGCGCTTGCCGCAGTCTTTGTGCGCAGTCTGTTTGTCTGTCAAGCTTTTGCTCTCCTACTTACAGCATTTTCACAAGTTGTAAAGTGTACTTCCACGTGTCATTTTGGAGAAATCTGCAACAACGTAAACGCAAAGTATGAAATACCACCACTGCCGGCGACGGTGCACGCACTCCAGAGCGTGACCATAACTCAGCCTTTAGAATCATATGGATGATACGATTCCATTGGGCTTGACTCTGCTTTGGGTGGACTGACAGTCCCGATGGGTCTGCCAGCTCTCTCTGGAAAGCTCCTGTGGAACCCCAGTTCAATCGCTGCTGCTGCACGTGCACGCATGGGGCACGCGGCCACTCGCTGCTTTGTGCTCCCAGAGCGCAGCAGTGCCAAACTAAAAAATAATTTTTCCTCAAAACAGCTGATGAGCCACTCGTCATCAGAAAATTCTATCTGTTTATAAATAAATGCTCTGTGTGTTACACTATTTATTATATCCTCCTTCAAGGCTGAATCTGTTCCTGTTAAATGTATTTTTGGAACAACTTTGCGCGTCTTTTATTTAACTGCGTCCACGTGGATGTAATAATTGTTAATAATGTGTGTCTGGTGTGAACAATAATTATTTTCACATAATGAACAGTTTCTCAGAATCACCTCTAAGTGTCACCAATGGAACCAAAACCACAGAAACGTG